GATCAATTTGCATGTTACCTTTTTATTATATAGGATTTTTTTGAGACCATGCTTTCAATTATTTTTTGGTACATATATGCAGAACTGGAACTGCTGGATCGCATAGTAATTATGTTTTTAATTTTTTTGAGTAACATGAATACTGTTTTCCATAGCAATTGCACCATTTTATTTCCCATCAATAATGCACAAGGGTTTCCAATTTCTCCACATTCTCACCAGTATTAGCAAACAACTTGTTATTTCCTACATTTTTATAGTTGCCATCTCACACCCTTTTTCTAAATACATGTTGCACCAAGGACAGTCTCTTGTATTCAGAAATGATTTATGCAGGATAAAATGAGCAATTAAATTCTAGCCTAAGTCCCTTGGGGAAGAGTTGGCTGGCTTTCTCGCTGGGGCTCCTGGACCGATTCTGTTGTTGTTTTTCACTCTTCCCACTTCTCCTCGGATTCCTTCCATTACTAATTCCTTAAAACTAAAGGGAATGAAATAGTACACTTGTTAACTACACTTGCTTCCTCTCATGATAAGTCCCTCACCATTTTAGAAAGGGCTTATCACATGCCATGTTAATTTCAAAATGAAAGTTAGAGGAAAATTAAAAACAGTTAAGCCTGGCTGGCATGGTTCAATGGTTGGACATTAACCTATGAACCAGGAGGTTAAGGTTCAGTTCCCGGTCAGGGCACATGCCTGGGTTTCGAGCTTGATCCTCACTCAATGTAGGGTGTGCAGGGGGTAGCTGATGAATGATTCTCTCTCATCGTTAATGTTTCTGTCTCTCCCTCTCCCTTCCTTTCTGAAATAAATTTTAAAATGTATTTTTTTAAAGTTAAGAGGAAACTGGAAACACCTACTAGGAACATGCAAACAAAGATGACTAAGGCCCTTCTCTTATTAAGGAAGCATTTAGGATCTTTCAAAAGCACTAGTATTGCTGGTCCTGACTTGAGATAACCTGAATAAAGAAAGGCTGGAACCAGTGCTTGGCACTCACCTTTCAAACGCTTCACAGCCAAGACCCAGACGCCTTACTGTCTCCCGGGGAAGAGCTGCATCTTTGACAGCCTCACTCTGTGCCGGCACATTTCGTAGGCTTGCAACGTTTTTGGATTTCTTTCGCTGTGCCTGAACCAGAAGGTCTGAAAAGCTTGGCTAAGTGTGAGCGAAGGAGCCAGGCAACCCTTAGATTCTCAGCCAGCCAGTTCCCAGCCAGATGACTTTGAACAAGTTCCTTCAGCATACTGGGCTCCAGTTTCCTCATCTGTGAAACAGGAGTAATACTTCCTGTATGCAGGCCTACTGTGATGATTAACTGACACTGACTTAACGGGCTCTTACAAATGAATAATTCATTTTATTTATTCTGTGCAGAAATAAGAATGGTTGGTGGCCATTATCTGAAAATAAAAGCAGAGTCTTTGATTGGGCTTTAGCTGTCCTTGAATTTTTTTTGAGGCCTCTCAACAACTATTCTGGATGTGTCATGTTTTTCAAAAGGCTGAGCTTTTGGTTATTTATTTTTTTTCCAAGCCACATATTTATTCAAGAAACATCTCTAATTTTGTTTTCTTTTTTTAGAAAACATCCGTTTCCACTTTTGTATAGCCTACAATAGATTTTTGTTATATTCTAATTTTCCTGTTAGCATAGTGCTTGCATATGTGTGCCTATACACTATGTGACACAAACACACACATATTATATCCCCTTAACTATTACAATGGAAATTAGAAAATGCCTTCATGTATAGAACTTTTACCAAATATTCCCAAAAATGTACTTTGATATTTTATTTTTTATTGATTTCAGAAAGGAAGGGAGAGGGAGAGAGAAACATCAATGATGAGAAATAATCATTGGTTGGCTGCCTCCTGCACACCCCACACTGGGAATCAAGCCCACAACCTGGGCATATGCCCTGACCAGGAATCAAACCTCCCGGTTCATAGGTGGATGCGCAACCACTGAGCAAAGCCGGCTGGGCTACTTTTATATTTTTGACCTTCACAGAAACCTAATGCAGTAGCAGGAGAAGCAGGTAGTATTTCCCTAGTTTCACAGATGAGATTTTGGGAAGCGTGTGACTTGCCTGAGACCTCAGAGCCAGTAGAGCTATATCCAAATCCAATATTATCTTCTCCATATCTTACTGCCTTCCCATAGGGCCATGCAGTAGAGGGCTGCTGGTGAAATGAATGGAAAGGAGAACAGAAATGGAAGGCTTGAAAGCCTTTTTGGAATTTGGATGGACTAGTATTAGCAAACAACTGAAATGTCACGCTCAAAGTCGAACAAGAATTCAGTGCATTGGGGGCATTTGAATTGCTTCAGAATTTATGGATATATTCTTTAAAAAAGGAAAATGTGCATGTTCCAGTTCTCCACTTTATGTCACAAATACAAGATTCGTCTTCTTCTTTATAGACCAGATTTACAGCTTAAATGTACTTTCTGAATACTTTTTCTGGTGCACACTTTCTATTTTTAAAAATTCATATTTATACCCCATATATTTAATTCCTATATTACTGACATTTAGGAAGGATGTGAAGAAGTTTATGTATCTGGCATTGTGGTTAAGAGTAAATAAATAAATGAATAAAGAAAATGTGTCTGGATCTATTTCCATGTGTCACAGTTATTTATTTTTCAGGCCTTAAAACCTCTACAACTGGTCTAAATTGCAATAGTCATGTTCTAAAACAATTGGCTGTATTTAAGCAGCAAAATATGTTCATAATTGGTCCCCCACCAGAGAATTTATCATATGAAAACACACTTCGCATTCCAACCCTGTGTGTACATATATAAACACACATACAATTATGATCATAAAAGTCAGAGTACTATTACTTACATAAGTGAGAAGTAGAAAACTTAAATTTTCAACAAAATTGAAATGATTGAAGAAATTACAGACCAAACTTGATGGATTATGGAACAACTGCTAACTGATCATTTTGAAGAACTTGAAGCAATATACAAAAAAAAAAAAAAAAAAAAAATACAGGGGTCTTTTTTTGCCTTATTAAAGAAAGAAAACACACAATTATATCTACCCTCTGTTTATAACCACAAAAACACGACAATTGCACATGGACAGACTTAAAAAGATCACAAAAGATGTAAAGGGCTTGTTTTTCCCCCTTGTGAATCAGTTTACAGTATTCATATAATCAAAAGCAAAAACTCCTTTGGCATGCACTATGTGAAATCCAATTGAAAAACTGTAGGCTGTTCTGTCCTAATTAAAACGGGTGCTGCAGACAGACGTGGAGTGATAGCAAAGAGCTGCACATGAGCACCGGCTTCATAGCACAGAGAGAAAGTTGAGAACGATGATTTGGAGATACCCCTATGGGCCAAGGGTTATCCCTTATCTCATCTCAAAGCAATAAAACCAAGCTCTACATCCCATGTATCTGGTAGGGCATCAGGGCCCCAGTCATCACATCTTTAGATCAATGGGTCCCAAAGGGAAACGAAAATTGCACGAGAAGGGAAAATACCACACAGTGGGGAAAAGAACCATTTTTGTAAGTCTTTATTTTTTAGTTGCTCCTCCCATAGTAATGCACTGAAAGGCATAACAGTTTATATTGTACAAAGCATTTGAAGAAAGTACCTCAACTTGCCGATTATTTCAAAATGAGATTACAAACAAAAAAGAAAACAAATCTGGTTCCCCCGATAAAGGGCAAAATAACTGAATACAGTCTGTTATTTACGTCTCTCTTTTAACATAAGATCTGGAACACTTCATTTTACAAATAGGATTAACATGAACATAACATCGCACAAGCTTGCAGACAACCAGCATAAAATATGGGTACAGTTTTCAATCAGAAGAATCATGCTTTCATGAAAGAAATTATAATTGTTTATACAATTGAATCGATTTTCAGTATTACAAAAACTAAGTTGCATCTATTCGTATTTAGCTCATTAAGAAAGGAAAAACGAAACAACAACAAAAGGAATGTTAAGAAAAGCCAAACCCCATTGGGCACTCCCCATACACAGGTCGAGTCACCTTGGTCCTTAGAAATTCGGAAAGGGGTGTGCCTCAGACTTCATAAAGTAGTGGCTGACTGGAACAGTGCTATTTTAATCAACAAACAATAGTTTGCCAACAAATAAATACAGGATACACGCAACACACAAAAAAAATTAAACATTAAAAAAAAAAACAGTGACATGATTGTCTAAAATAAAAGATGTTGTTACAAGGATTTGGCAAACAGTTATTAGTGTAGTGGTACAGTGATACTGGTGATGGACAGGTTACTTCACTGACTTAACCTCTTTTGAGCATCGAACATCCATAGTTTACAATATACACATACCCTTTCTCCCTAATTTTAAACAAGGTACTTAAGAAGGCAAAAAGTGAATGGAAAACAAGTCCTCCATGTTCATCAGTTTCTCTAGTAATCGAGTATGCATTTCATCCAACTACTTCCATCCTCAAAGGGTTAAATTACATAAAACTTTAACAAAGAAAGAAAATTAAATCTGTAATTAAAAGCAACTGTTACCAATCATGCGTCAGGTGATCTTGGACAAAAAAAAAAAAAGAAGAAAAAAAAAGAATTCAGTTTCTATGGAGTGTTCGTTCCTATCAATGCTGCCATCTCAACTGCCCCCTTCCCCCACCCCCTCTCTGGGGCAGGGCGGACTGGAAGATGCCTTTTCCCCAGCAAGGTTTTCATGTTCATCGAATCGCTCTCAGTCGCACCGATCCTCCGGAAGTCAGCAGCTGCCTTTGCTGTGCAAAACAAAATATCGAGAATAAATAGCTTCCTTTCTTTCTTTCTTTCTTTCTTTTGCTTTCTTTCTTTTTATTACTCATTCAGTTTAAAGTCACCGGACTTGAAATGAGTGACCCTTCGGGTTTCTAAGGCATTCTGCTCAGCAGTCTTTTAAATAGTCCTATAGGAAAGAGCCGTGCTACTGCTGGACTTGGTCCCACTCGGTCAACCTTGGGAATGTCATACGTGGCTTATGGACTGGATGGCACTGGATTCAGCGGCAGCCCTGGCCATACTGTGCCACACGTTGGAAGAACTGTGGGATGTTGAATGGAGGGACTCCTTCTCAGACAATGACAACATCATAGCATATGCCTGGGGTAAAAAAAAAAAAAAAAAAAAAAGGAGAGTCTCAGTAAATGGCATTTGAAACACATCACTTTTATTTTGAAGAACAGAGTTGGTGAATGTTAGAGAGAGAAGGGCTGAGTAGGAGCTTCCCCATGGGAGGATTTGAAAAAGCTGGAACATTTTTGTACGCATGTGTTTTAATGTCATGGAATTACTGCTGGCCTGCAGTGCCTAGGGACCAAAACGGTGATAGGATCTACAGAACAAAACATTAATTATCCTATCTAGCATTTCAGTAGTGTCTCCATTAAGAAACAGGAGTCATTGCCTTCCAACCATAATAAATCAATCATGCATCCACTGTTCATGCAAGCATTCAATGCACCAAAAATATCATTGTGTGCTTATGATGGAAACTGCAAATATAAATAAGACATATTCATATTTGACGGCACTGTGGTCTAGGAAAAGAAACAGTCCATGGACTCCTGCATTTTATAACTGAGAACACTGAAGGTGAAATGACTTGCCCAAGGTCACTTTGACCAATTAATGAAGAAGGCGTAATTTGTATTTCTGCCTAACTTTTCATTCAATGTTGTTTTTCCAGTTCCCTTCCATGCTTAAAATATTCAATGCTGACACCCAAAGACTTTGAAAGTTGAGGTAGATCAAGTCAGGTCTATCAATCAATACAATAAGACAGCAAGACCCAACAGCATCCTGACCCACACGTGCTCCAGTGCCTGCTGCGCAGTAGGTGCTGGGAGGTGCTCTGTGCGGAAGTGCCCTTTCTTCCCTGTTATCATGTCAAATTGTAAATAACTGTTCAGCGAATCCGCCACTTGCTGCCAAGTAAAATATTCAAATGAAATGTTTGGTCTTGACTTGGGAGTGAACTTTTCACTGTTGATTTGCTATTGTTGGTCTCATCCATTGCTAAACTTGCTTGTCAAAATGCTGCTGAAGTGGAATCATTAAAGTCCTGCCAAAGACATTCCACTGTCTGTAAACAAAGACAAAATGCCTCTGTTGTAAAGCAGAATTTCATCTCTGGGAGTCATGCTGAGACATGTGGCTGGTCTGTGGTTTCTTCCTAATCATGGCATTCAGTTAGAAAATCTGCCCTTGCAGGCTGGTTTTGATTTGCCGGGTCATCGCTCTAAATGTACACATTTGACTCTTATGCATGCAATTTGCCTTCTGGACCTCTACAAAATCTCAGTAGATATCTAACAAACATGTCCTAAGCCTCAACACTATTCCAGGCATTGTGTTGGGTCTCAGGGAATCAAGGATAAACAATCCAAAGACCCTGTCCTTTATATAGTTTAAATTATGGGTGACATGAGCATTGAAATGAAACTTATCTATTCTAATTATGTACCCAGTGTTAGAGAGCAAAGATAAAAACTATGGTGAAATGGTTTTTAACAAAACCTATTCTGATATTTGGAAAGCTGAAAGAGAGTACAGAGAAAAATTTGGAATCCTGAGTTTTAATCCTGATTTCTCACCACAACTAGTCGTGTGACCTTTGGCAAGTTGCTTAACCTTTCAAGGTCACTTTCCTCATATAAAACGGAAATTATAACAAAAACCTGCCTCCAAAGGTTGTCGAGGAATCATAGCTCTAACTTCCATAAAATGTCTAGTTCTGTGTACCTAACATAAATAGTACCCATAATCATAAAATTAATTTTTGTAGGATAAGGTTTTTCAGAGAGGGTTCCAGGTAACATGTAGCCACTGTTGTGTTAGTCAACTCTCTGGGACTCGACCACTATGAAAATCACAGAGTGCATAGAGGAATGTTTTGAGTAAAGCATCTGCCTTTTGGTAATCAAAGGAAATAAACATTTTCATGCCCAAGGATCAGTTTCCAGCACATAACTGGAAGTTAATAACAGTCGAATAAATGAATAGTCTCATGAAAGACAGTTTGCAGAAAGGCCTGACTATTTTCAAACTAATACATATGACATTATCAAGTAACAATAAAAATATGAGCTAGGATTGCACAATGCTATTATTTCTGGTGATGGTAACTGTTAGCTCAGTGAGGCAGTCACTTTATGTCGAAAATGCTGGTACTGAAATATATCACACCAGTTATCTCTAGATTTTCAGACCCTTCTGCTTTCCATTCACTTCTGACAGTTTAAAGGATTTTTAGTTATTATGTCTTATAATAAAAAGCATTTTTGTGGAATAACTTTTTAATAATTAAAAAGAGCAAAGAAAACCAGCGACCCCCAGTTATCTCTGATCGACTAGGAAGGAAGAATGGAAAGTCAAGGGTTTAAAACAATATTGGCCACCTCTTAAGGTTGCCTCAAAGTGAAAATGAGGTGTCTACTCTGGCTAGTTTACTTTTCACATTAGAAACCGAACAATTCATTTATATCCCCATTGACTTATCAAGCAGAAAGAGCTCCTGGATATTTTCTCTACTCACCCCACTTTACAATGAGGACATGGTACCTACAGTCATGGTGCTCTGTTCTCAAGTTCATGGAGTTTGGAAACTCCAGTGTTGGGGCAGGCTGCTTTTACTTCCGTTCAGAAAGAACATTTATGTTGCCTGTTAGCATACACGGTATCTTAGAGTTTTTACTGAATTTACTGATTTGTAAAAACATATATTATTTCACTGGCAAAATATTTTCTCCACCTTAGTTGAGATATGACCACATTTGCTCTTAAGAGCAGCCCAAAACATCTCAGTCAAATAGAAAATGTACAAGTCATATGGTCACCACTTCCAAAATGGGTTAATGAGTCAAATACTTAGATCAAAGTGACCAACAAATATGGAAGTTTCTTCTTCTTCTTCTTTTTTTTTAATTGATCTGAATAAACAATCTGGTTGAGTGTGGATATCACACAGAAAGTGCTGACTTCCTCTTTTTGTGATAAAAGATCTGTGGCTCTTTTAATTGGTGTTTAGGGATCGTTAAATGGATTTATGTTAGTTACCACAGAGCTGATAGGATGTCATAGAGCCCACCAAACTTGGGCACCATTCATTAATTCATTCAATAAAAGCTGACACATTTTATTGCTAGACCTGCCTTTAAGTTGCTGCAGACCATCAGCAACTCACTTTATCTCTGATTTTAAGTTTATTCCTACATTCTATAATTAAATGACTTGTAAATTAACTATATATATTATAGCAAGGCACACAAAAATAGAGGATAGACTTCACTTTCTAAAATATCTTTACATATAACTAGGTTGACAGAAATAGTAGACACAAGGCAATTAGAAAACAATTACGATGTACTATATACGTAGGTGCAAGCGACATTACGGCCTATCGATACAGGAGTAAGAAAACCGGGACATAAAGGAGCCATTATTGCAGGATAGGGTTTGTCACAGAATTTCTGTGCAGAAGGCGGCCATAGTAATTGCTGTATTGGTTACCTAGTCTGGATTCAGTCATAGGAAGCCAAGATGTGAACACTGTGAGTGAAGCATCTGGACCTGTTCAGGTTCTAGCATACTGCAAACCACGAATAGCTGCCTTGCGGCATCAAAGACACACTGTCACCAGGATGCCATACTGCCGGAAGATATATACCTGTGATTTAGACTTTCTGTGTAACGGCTGTTTAAGTTCCTCTGGCACATGGGAAGTACTAAAAGAAGAGAGCTCAGCTTCAGTATATTGATTATCTTCCATTTTCCTCATTTTGAGGCTATCTGTGAAGTGCCTTATATGATCTAGAGCAGAAAGTCCAATTTTGTATTCTTCCTCTTTATACCTAAAATGAACCAATAGGAGAGCACAGAGGATTTTTTTTTTCTTTTTCAGTATGTTATGCAACCAAATCACTTTTCATTTGAATCTATACAGTTGTCGAATGTCATATTATATTTGCAGGAAAAAGTAGCATGCATCAATTATTGGGTGCTTTAAAAGGTTCACAAATATTATATAGTAAGATATATTTCCTTCAAAATTTTTCATAACTAAAGCAAGCATATATTTGACATAAAGAGGTAAAGTCAATGACATGTGGAATCAGCAATGCAGTGGAGACGGAATTCATACCTTTATCATTTCCATTTAAAATAAAGCCAGTTAAGATAATATTTAGTTAGCACCCACTATCCATGTGAAGATATAATATTCCTATCCATTTAACTATCATGGTTAATTTCCCATGTAAAAATATATCATCTATATGGATTATATATATATATCAAGTGAAGTGAAATTTATCTCAATAATATTTAATTAATAACACCAGACTATTGAGTGAATAAGAAAATGTTGGAAGCTATTTTTCTATAAGTTTTTTAGGTAGAGTCTACATAAATGGTTGGGCACTTGTGGAGTTTCCATTTACCCTTCCTATGCAGGTTAATCAGAGTTCCACAAACACTGATATATTTATATATTATACTTGTGGGTTATGTTGATGGCTACCTTATCCTTACTGTGTACACTTTGCTAACTCAAATTCAATTTTTATGATTTATTATTCACAAACTGCTTATCACCTGAAATATTGCTCTAATGGAAGAAAGAGCCAGAGGAATTATAATCATGTGTATCTACTCTTGTTTATTTATTGATGTCACCCGAGCCACTTGCCTCACTGGGGATGTCTTGCAACTCATCTCCAGGGCGCTGGTTTCCTCATAGTCATCCTCGGGGTTTCCTTCATGCATACTACTTGTAACTGGTTCCTTTCCCATTTTCCCGGTAATATCATTGTCTTCGTCCTCCTCATCCAACAGCACCTCATCTTCTACTTCTTCATCATCCAGTAAATCTGAATTTTGACTGGTCACTAAAGCCTTCTCATCCTTAAAGTGGCTGCCATTCATTCTTTCAAAACCATAAGAAAGAAAGGGGTCCAGTTACTGGTTCTGTGTTTAAATATGCATTTAGCTTTATCATCGTGTCTTCGTAACAACAGTTTGCATTGTTAACACTTCGATAGTCATTTTATTGTTGATGCTTTATGGCAACCATGGGAAAATAATGTAACCTCACCAATAAGAAAATAAAGAAAAAAATAATAATTGAGTGATTGTTCAGATTATAAATAGAGCCTCCAGCAGAATTGAAAAAACAATCCAGTCTCCAGTTCCTTATCAGGCTTTTGCCTGATAAATGATATTGTTATATGTGATATAAAAAGCACACCAATGTTTTCTCTACATAATGTAACCAAATCACCATGTAAGTACCCACCAATTAAAATAATAGATTTCTGGAAAACTCAGATCCCTGAGCAACACTGTAAAAAGGTTCACACACATGTCTAAAGTGAATCTAAGAGTTCCAAAAAACTGGTAAGGTTGCTGCCAAAGACCGACCAGTGTTAGACATTTCTAGGTAACACTGGTGGGTATATGCCACTTACACATCTATTCACACTTTGAAATGTTCAAGGGCGCACTTCTTTGTACCACTTTCAAGTTACCCTTGATGGCATGAATGTAAAAAAAGTTCCTTTATCCTATGATAACATTGAGGTGGGAAATGATCTAAAAAAGTAATTGTACAAATACCTTTGGAAGCTTACTTAAGCAAGTATATCAACCATAATGATAAAAAGGAAGACTATTTAAAAAGTCATTGGTAATATTTTAAGTTGTGGTTAGAAGGATTGCAATATGTGATTCAAAAGTTTAATTATAAAAAAAGTTAACTTACATAGACATCCCAATTTAATACGTTTGAGAGCATTTATGAAACAAGGATTAAATTTTTTCAGCTTTACAGTAAACATTAAAATGTGTGTAATTTAAAGTTAAATTTCATGGTAAAATGTAAAAGCTGAAAAATAAGTTACAAAATAATAATCACTTGTTTTGTCTAAGTTTGGGGAACGTTTTTATTCATACAAGGAGGAGAGAGGATGAGGCAGAACAGACTAGTGGCAAATGCTTGGGCTCTGAATATTTCAGAGAATATCTTCTCCTAACCATCTCCTTTTAAAGATATATGACCAGGGAAGCAAAGACACTTGCCCAAGTTCAAAAGCTTTTTAAAGATTAAGCCATTATAGGCATCCAAGTGTTCCAATTCCCAGACCATTCAAAATCTTTTCATTTTGTTTTATTTACTAATTAAAAAACTTGTGGACGCTGTGATGTTATTGTTACAGTCATGTGCAATTTTAACATTTAATGTACTTATTTTTCTGATTATGGAAAATCAGGTACCAGTGATAAATACATTACTTTCCCACATTTAGAAAAAAATAAAAGCATTTAGGGTTTAGATTCCCTGGGTAAAAAATAAATAAAACAATCTTGGGTGTGACAGATGGACATAATAAAAACCTATTTAACCAGCAAACATCATAATCATCATTATTAAGTTTTTTATACAACTAATTTCTTAACCACTTTTATCAAAGAATGATGAAAACATGTTTTGCACAGACAAATTATTAGTTTCCAGCAACACTGCCAACTTGCTCTTTTAAATGGGTTGAAATTGTTATTTTAAAAAATGAAAGAAAAAGTAAAAGAACAAAAGAGTGCATGGATGAAAACCAAAATTAACAAAGCCAACATGATTAAGAAAGCCTATTTGTTAATTATGCTTTCAAATGTGGCAACTTATCGGGGATAAATTATTCATCAAAAGTAGTCTGATAGGAGATGGGGGGGTAGTTAGATGACTCAATCTTCTTACTTCTGTGCTGTTTAGACATGTTGAAGCCAGATGTTGCAGCTGTAAAGTTCACAAATCTGTGATTAAGGGCTAGAAAAATCTCAATAGGCATCTCAGAACCCAAGTTATATTTTTTGTTTGTTTACTACTTTTTATTTGCATCATATAAATATCATTATCAAAATGTAAGATTATCTTTCTTATTTGTTACTAGTTTGTACCTTTGATGATCTGCCTGCTCCCCTCTCTCTATCTCTCTTTCTTTCTCCCTCCCTCCCTCTCTCTCTCTCTCTCTCTCTCTCTCTCTCTCTCTCTCTCGTGAGCAAGGAAAAGATACATCCAATTGCACTTCTTAGAGGCGGAAAAAGGCCACACCATAGCAGATCTCTCCTTTTTTCCCTTGATACACTTTTATACAACTTGAAGGATACAAGTGGTCATATATTTTTATGTTATTTTTAGAAAATAATGTTTTCTTGAAGCTTGCCTTAATGGAAAAATTGTCTAACATAATTAACTTTGATTTTTAATAGCATCAAAAATAGAGAACACTAACAATAATACTTGTGTGGTGAAAAGTAATGGTACTTGTGTTAACTAATTCCATATGACTTTAAAATTTACAATGTAGTGCCCTGGCTGGTGTTGCTCAGTTGTTGAGCATCGACCCATGCAGCAGGAGGTCACAGACAGCTTGATTTCTGGTCAAGGCAGATGCCCAGTAGGGGGCATGCAGGAGGTAGCTGATTGATGATTCTCTTCATCATTGCTGTTTCTATCTCTCTCTCCCTTCCTCTCTGATATCAATAAAAACATGTTTTTTTAATTTATGATGCAGCATTTAATTTAATAGGCCATTGGATAGTTATGTTTAGAAATATCTGAGTCTCAATATTATATATTTAATTTTAACTTACAGATAAGAAAAATCCAGTAGTTCTGGTGAAATCATGTCTCATTAACTTCATATAAAATGTAAAACACTAGGTAAGTGTTGTTCTTATTAGCAGCATTAAAATTTTTCTTTATGAATTAAGCCATATGTGCTTAATGTTGATGTTGAGACAAGAGGGATCCAGTGCACCAGGTAACTAAAAGTAAGGATGATCCTACTCACTGACACCAACATGACAGAATTCTATAGGCATGCACTGATAGCATATAAGGAGGTGATAGAATCTTATTAAGAAGTCTCCAATGATTTCTAAAAGGAGACAGGTATGACACTCAATGGGTACTTTATATATACTAGTAAATATGTACAGATATATAAATATATATACAGATATATACAGTCATACATAGTCATAAAATATGTATTATATACAACACATGACATATAATAGTAACCACTGTTGCCAAGTGATTCAAATGAATCCCTATGGCATTGTTATCCCCTTCTACTTGTCAATTTTGATAAAAAATAGTCTAGTTAGCTATCAAGAAAGGCAGAAAAGACTGGTGGCAAAAGCCTGGGCTCTGGAATCAGTCAGTCCAGGTAGAATCCCACTTATTGCTTATATGACCTCTGGCAAGTGTTTTAACCTTCAATGTCTCCATTTTCTTCAAGATAAAATTACAGCTGGAACCGGTTTGGCTCAGTAGATAGAGAGTTGGCCTGCAGACTGAAAGGTCCCAGGTTCAATTCTGGCAAGGACATGTACCTTGGTTACAGGCACATCCCCGGTGTGGGGTGTGCAAGAGGCAGCTGATCGATGTTTCTCTCTCATCAATGTTTCTAACTCTCTATCCTTCTCCATTCCTCTCTGTAAAAAATCAATAAAATATATATTTTTAAAAAAAGATAAAATTACATAATAATGGTCGCTATCTGGCAGTGTTGCTAAGACAATTAAATGAATCAATCCATGTGAAGTGCTTAGAAGAGCATTTAGTATTTAATCTCCAAATAAGTGCCAACCACAGATGGTAGGAATAGTAGTAGTGTTATTAAGAACAAAAATAAACACAGAAAATGTATCTGGAAACATGTTTGTTTCAGAAATCACGAGTTTACTAGTAAAAACCAGCTTTACCTCTCCTCTGTGTTCCTGGGAGACTGGCTGCCATGGTTGCTATTCCCAATGAAATTTCTAATTTCTGTAAAGTAAGCATCTTCCTTGTCATCAAGAATCGCACCTGTGCTTTCCAGTTCAGAATGAGGCGAAGATGTTGCCGTACCTGAGGGGAGAGCAGGTCTTATGTGAAAAGGACTATTATTTCGATGGCAAATTATTTTGAAATGCATTCCTTCTCCATTGGGTCAGTGTTGTTTCCCAAAACAGGCTCCTTGAATATTAATAATGGTAACTTTAGGAGGTCAAGGCCGTCCTAATTTATCACAGTACACATGCCAATGAAAGTCCCTGGGGGAATATTTTGAGCCATTGGACTCATGAGGTATAGTCTCCCAAAGATGTTATTTCTCCCACCAGCTTCCTTTTACCCCCGCTGTGACATGGGAACGGTTTTGTTCATACAACGAAGGGAGAGGATGAAGCAAATGACAGAGAGGTCTTCAATGGCTTCTGCCAGAAGAAACTACAGCAGTCCCGCTGGCAGTCAACATGCATTTATTGCTCCAGTGCTAGTGTGTTACCAAAACAGACTGATAAGATGCAGAACATTCTGCATTCTGACTTGGGGGGCTGAGCCATCAGTAGACTGTGCACGGTAGAAAGAGGACAATATTGGCCAAAACCGGTTTGGCTCAATGGATAGAGCATCGACCTGGGGACTGAAAGGTCCCAGGTTCAATTCCAGTCAAGGGCATTTACCTTGGCTGCGGGCACATCCCCAGTAGGGGGTGTGCAAGAGGCAGCTGATTGATGTTTCTCTCTCATCAATGTTTCTAACTCTCTATCCCTCTTTCTTCTTCTCTGTAAAAAATCAATGATATATATATATATATGAAAAAAGGGCAATATTAGATGGTCTTCAGGTTCTTTACCTAAAATATTTAGAATCATAATACCTGCATCACCTGATTGTTGCAAGGCTTCCATAAATGTTCACAACTATAAACACTTTATATGTGGTCAGATTCTAAACTAACAGTCACTTCATGCCCACAAAAAGATTCTAAACTAACAGTCACTTCATGCCCACAAAAAGCCAATAATTTAACAGTTCATCACAATAGCCCACATGGCAAAACCAAGGGGTTTAGAACTTCCCTCAACTTAATACATGTACAAACTGGGTCAACAAGTAAATATTCAGCTTTGACAGATTACAATTTTTAACTTATCTCTTTTACTTCTGAAATAATTTTAACTAGAACATTTTCGTAGCATACTGTAAGGGTGCGCAGTGTTAGAAAGTATAGCCAGCTGTATATTAGACTAGACTTCTGTCTCTAAAATCTGATATTTTAAAATCATGATCATTTGATTTCTGGTTTTGGGGGAAATGAACAGTATTATAACTAGCTCTAAGTAGAAGTCATCCAAGATCATAAGTTATGTGCCTGTACAGTGGAGGAAAATTCATAAAAGAAATGCATTCCCTAAATAAAGATTTATACCTTGTATAAATCCAATTCTTTTCTGTTCTTAAAAATCTCTTTTCCTGAACTCCATATTCACCTCTTCCTCCCACCCTCCCAGGTCACTTCCTTAATTTTCTCCACAGATTGGCTCCGCACACATATGCCAGCAGGTTAATGTTAGTTAATGGCTTAGTATCTAACTATTGGAATCCAAAGGCAAGAAAACCCACCATCTCTTCCATGTGCTAACACGTCTGAGCTAAGGGAAATTTTTTGTTTGCTTGTTTTTGCCACTTTTAACTTAATTCTACATCAGAATTTGTGATCAAAACCACACACCATTGTCATTTGCTAGGGGTGACTCTGATCATGTCCACACTCTCCTATCAGTGATCTCTCACAAAGTTACCCAGCAGAGGTTCTCCAAGCTCCAGCATTGCTGCAGAAGCAGCCACGGGTGTCTGGTCAATATTCAGAACGTGGTGTTCTGGTGCTGCGCTCCGGAAACCCTACACTCCCGGGGCACAGCCTGTGCCAGTAGGTGGAAAGATTGTTCCCCGCAATTCAGGAAATCTTGATTTTCTAAGCCTCCTGAGAGTCTGAGTCACGCTCCTCCCAGAGACTGCCCACGGAGATGAATCCAGGAGAAGAAAAGATCCTTCAAATAAGGCTCTGAGTTGTATATTATGCAATGATCACATCATCCTAAAATCTCCAGGAAAACAGGCTGCAAATTTTTCCAACAGGATCTGATTTCAGAGACCACGTGGAATGAGAGAAGCGAGATTATCATTTCACATTTAAAAAAAAAAAAAAAGTCATCGTCTCCTCACAACACAACTGATTACCTACCAGACATGTTCCCATTCTCGTGTTTCTTTAGGTGTCTGTCTAGGTTGGTTTGTTGACCAAAACACCTATCACATAAGTGACACTTAAAGGGCTTCTCCTTATTGTGGATGTTGCGAACATGCCGCTGCAAGTTAGAAGATATGCTAAAGGATCTGTCACAGTATTTGCACCTGAAAAATAAACACAGAGAATGTTCGTAGGCAAGCTAAAAGGTATTTCTCAAGAACAATAACCCAGAATTATGACCTAGAAAACAAACATTTGGAGAAAGGGCATAGGCAAGAACACTGTTCACACGGTCGATATTTGAATTCCAATAGACTGGTTGCTTTAAAGATTTTCAGGACTTTATGGAAAATGTTCATAAAAATATTGGTGATTTGATGGCTCCTAAACTTAACTAGCATAATCAGTTCTAATATTTAAAATAAACCTCGTAAAATTAAGAACATTAAGAAATAGCAATGTTGTTTTATTTTTCTCTAAGAACAATACAATTAAATCATTTTTCAAACAAACATGAAGCAAATCCATAAATTCTGAAAATAAAGTGAAAAGATTATTTTTATAAAAAAATATATCCATTTAATTAAATACTTTCTTAGTAAATTTCACTTTCTCAATTGCTAATCCTAAAGGGAATTCTTTTATCTTCTCCAAAATAGCAATAAACTTTCCAAACTTTTAAAACTGAAAAAATGTGAATACTTTAGTCTGATACTGATTTTTATAATCAGTGGAGATTAAGATTCCCCCAAATCCTTTAGTCTATTAACTTTTAAACTTACAAAAGAAAGAAGAGTGCCACTACATTCTCCTTTTGGAATAAAAACAAAAGTTTCCCTTCACTCAACTTCCCTCTCCACTCCCTCAATTTTCCATTTCTATTTTTGTTGAAGTGTCTGTGGCAGTTCTGAACCAGGTCAGTTTTTCAGGAAAGCACTTATTATTCGTTAGCTAATATTTGGAAGTTTTCCTTTCGAAACAAAATGAAAATGTAATCCCTCTCCCACCCAGCTCTTATGGCTGAGAAAAACAAGTGGTAGTTTATGGGGTATTCTCTAGCATCTAAAAGTAGAGATTACATTGGGCGCTTTTGTATTATTTTTTGTATGTATATTGCATGAAAGAAAAATATCAAGTTTCCCCAGATAACTTTTAAGTGAAAATTTTTAACTTAGCAGCCAGAAATTTCTTCACTCATTCTTCCATGTGTGAAGGGCCCTTCTCCTCCCACTTCTGAATGCAGACTCAGTGGCTCAAGTGCTCTCCATCAAAAATCACCCCATTCCACGCCAACTGTTTGGGCTTCTACGGCTGTCTCTAGGTGATGCCAGAAGTCTCGTTAGTTCAGTGGGGAAAAGAAATCTGTTAAACTAGTTACTTTGGCAAAGTATCAATAAACCAACTCAAGGACTGATTTAATGTTCCCCTTTAAGAAACTATTCTGGCATCATGAGGTTCCTCAACTTTCCCCACTTATAATATTAATTTAAAAGTGTGTGAAACCCTACATTGATAGTAGTTGTAATATTTTAGCCTCTATTTTTGGAAAAAAAAATATATATATACATACATACACAGGATGGGGCAAAAGTAGGTTTATAGTTGTGCGTATGGAAAATAATACAATAATTAATAAATAAATAATTATACAAGAATAAACCCTGTTTCACATACTCACAACTGTAAACTTCCTTTTGCCTGACCGTGTGTGTGTGTGTGTGTGTATATATATATATATATATATATATATAGAGAGAGAGAGAGAGAGAGAGAGAGAGAGAGAAGAGAGAGAGAGAGAGAGAGAGAGAGAGAGAGAGAGAGAGAGAGAGTCTTGGCCTTCTCCATAATAACTGCCAACTTCCAGGGCTCATTGCAATGACAGCCATGGTACAGTGAGCACAGCTGTGCTGTATGCTAAGCAGAACAACCTGGGAAATACTGATAGAGAAAACATATCTTCCCATAAAAAACTTCAGAAAACTTTTCACTCAGAACAGTTTCTACACAAATTGTAAGGAAGAGAGATTTTGTCTTTGACATGCTTCCAACTTTCTGCCTGTATGAAAAGGGGCTTTTCCAAATTTAATAAACATCATCTACTCTAATATAAATAAAATTGGCCAATAAGGATAATAATTATCTGTTACTTTGTATCTTTCCTTTGTTAATGTCTTGGCCAAAAGGCTGAGTGCTCTTAAATAAAAAATAAAAAAAGAATTTTTTATATCATTCATTCCATTCTTCCCAAATAAACTAGGAGGTGATTAAAAGTCTAAGTTTCAGAAATACTTAAAATGAATAAACACATAACACAATCATAAGCAGTAAACTAGTGAGAATTTGGATGTAAACAGGGTCATTGGGAGCCTTTGGGGTCAGACATGTGATATAAACCCTGGTGGGAGAGCTCCAGGTCTGGGTTTTAAATCTGGGTCTATCAGCACCAGACTTTATAGAAAGCCATTAGCAACTGTGGCTCTAAATATATTCACTTGTAAAACAGAGGAGCTGGGTAAATAATTAAGATCTCCAGCTATGCAAATACTTTGATTTGTGTTTTTAAAAATACACAGACAATAATAGCCCCATAATTGAGATAGAATAACACCCCTGAATTGAGGTATAAAGAAAGAGTAAAATGAGCATCTATAATAATAAAAGCATAATATGTAAATCAACTGAACGACCAAACAGCAGAATGACCATCACGACGACCTTCCCGACATCACATTATGACACCCACTGGCACCAGGCCAGCCAATGTGGGTGCGAGGCAATTGGTCGGGTGCCTGGCCATCGCCCTGTGATTGCCCTGCAGAGGGAGGCCCAAGCCACTGGCTCGCATGGCGATGGATCAATGGGGGAGGGGCCTTCACAATCGCCCCAAAGAGGGAAGCACAGGCCACTGACCAGTATATCGCGGTAAGTGGGTGGGGCCTCCCTCTACGAAGGCAATCCATCATGGAGTCCCGGCTAGGTGGGCAGGGCTTACCTCTTTGGAGTGATTGATGGCAGAGACCTGCAATCCATTGCCCCAAAGAGGGAGGCCCAGGCTACCCAGCAGCAGCACTACCGCAGGTGGGCGGGGCTTCCCTCTGCAGGGATGATCCATTGCAGAGCTCTAGCTGGGTGGAAGGACCTACCTCTATGTGGGGCGATCCATCAAGGAAGCCCAGGCCAGCTGGGTGGAGCCTATCTCTGCAGGGGAGGCGGAGAATCAATTGTGGGGCTCCAGGACTGTGAGAGGGCAGTCTGGGCTGAGAGACTCTCCACTCCCAAGTGCATGAATTTCATGACTAGGCCTCTAATAATATCAGAGGTGCTAACCAGACCCCTTGGCCATTAGAAAATTTAAGTGTGGACATCTTAAGCACAATTTCCCAGAAATCTAAATTTTTTTTCCAAAAAGGAAAGCACTTAAAACTTTCCATTTATATATATCTCCCAGACCTATTATATCAAGTGTATTCTATCACATATAAAATATAAATATCACTTATGATTAGTCATTTATAAAACATGTAGGAAAGCAAAGAATCTCAGAAAACACTTCATTAATTTCTGCTTAAGTCCTTCTAGTTTTCTCTTTAAATTTCCATTATCTTCAAATAAGCATTGGTCTGCCCATTTCTTTTATTCTATGCATGTAAAAAGACTTTGAAACCTAATAAATAATTTATTTTTTAATGGAAAAAGTGAGCATTCAGACAAAAATAATTTTACACATATGCAATGCATAAGAATTTCAAAGCAGAATGAAATTACACTATCACTAAAGATAAACAACATTCATTCTTTGAAGAAATATTTATGAGTACCTAATACTATGTGCAAAGCATTGCATAGTAAATAATGTAGGTTATATTTTAAAACTGGAAGGGAGAATACTGATTACTTTCATTCTTTAGTAAACAATAATATTAAAATTAGATATGTGCTCATATGTCTTGTGGCTGATCTTGACATTTAACAGAATAAACTAAGAGGTACTTTGGAAATTGTTGGTGGAATTGCCCCTCTTACTATAATATGTTCTATTTACTTGTTTGACCCCTAAATCCACATTTTTTCCCCTCCCGGGTTTAAGGTTCATTATTTTAACCTCCTAATGAGAACTGTGGACATTAACTCAATTCTACTGGGAAAGCAAAGTAGTAATATCCCAGTTGTTAACTCCCAGCCGAGATTTAAGGTTTAAAAAAAAAAAGAAGCTGTAAATGCTATTATTATCAATTAAATAGCACTAATTATTGAGAAAAGAGAGAATAAAATAATTTTTAAATGACCAACATTGCTTAAACATATCTGTTATAGATGTTGCTAGAGCTTTGAAACTGAGATATAAGAAGTTTCGATTAAATAAATTAGGATTCTTCAAATTTTCATCCTAGCCATTAATTAATTCTTCTTTGACTCAAAATTAAACAGACATACATTTAGGATATGTCCCAAAGTAGTTTCCATTAAAATTGTGGCAATGTGTCCACTTTAATTACTACAATATTAATCAAGATATTTAGTAAAAGTCACGGTCAAACCTGTAAGGCTGCTCTCCTGTGTGGGTTCTCAAGTGCCGTGTTAGGTTTGCAGACCTTGGAAAAATCTTGCCACAGTATCTGTTATGAAAAGATGTTTATAAGAGAAAGTCAGCACAATTGACCTTGTTTCACTCTAGCCGCGTAGAAGCCAGATGCTTATTCCCGATTTAATTAATCCTGCATGGAACTCACATGTCCTTTGGTATTTAAAATTTGCAATAAAGCCATTCTAAAGATATAAATAACTCTACAAATGAAGGCTGCATTGCGAAATCTGGTTGAATTTGGTGATGCATAAACAAGCAGTTTATGAAAACAGACTTTCATTTTGATGACCCCCATACGCCTCTTTTATTAACTCTGTATCTTGATATTCATGAAACTGAGCCAGACAAAGGAATAAAAAAAAAAAATGACAAGAGTCTGGGTTGATGTAAACAGATTTCAAATGTTTCAACTCATTTTACATGTTAACCACAGTGACAACTCTCTGTACATTGAGTGGTATCAGAGCAGACAAGATTCTAAGACCTCATCCATCAAGGTATGTCCCTGTAAAATCTTTTCTGGAAACAGAGTGACATATTTTCCAAAAAGCAGATAAATTGATTTGCCTGAGTCAGATGCCCCAAATTTCTGAAGACAATGTAGAAATTATAAGCGTAATTTATTTTTAAAAAGAGAAACAAAAAAACAAGCTTTGCTGTACTCCTGATTGTAACAAGAAACTTATTAACTAGCTTTCTTCATTTATCGACCTTATTCGTCCTTCATTAATGGCCTTATTTTTCAATGCCACGACAATTAATAAATGTATGCTTGAGGACAGTAGTAGTATACTTTGGGATGAAAATAATTAACTGTGAAAGAAAATTCATAAATATCAAAGTGAAACAAGCAGATAGCATTTGGACTGCTTCCAGCCTCATTTATCACAACCAAATGGCCTGTGTTAAAATTCTCATTTAATAATAATTTTTTAAAAACCACCATTTTTATATCTCACTAAATAAAGAGTACTTTGAAGTGCTCGAGATCTATCATGGTTGCGATTAATCATCCAATCAAGAATAATTTCCAAAACAAACAGCAGGGCCTTTGAAATCAGAAGTGGGGGGGGGGGGGAGGGGGCGGGGCGGGATTTTTGGAAAGGCAGCCATAATTAACTTGGCAGTTACCTGCAGGTATAGCGCTCCTTGCCTTTCCTCAGGAGGTTCTCGGGCAGGGCGTTGGGAGGCGCTCTGAAGTTGAACATGGATGGGACTGACTGTAGAAGCTCACTGGCCTCGGGTTTCAGGGCGCTGAAGCTCTCCAGCTTCTCTGCCATGTTTTCAATAGCTGACATCTGAAAGGCAAAAAGCACAAAACCATGAAGGGCCCATCTGATGCCTCTTCCTCTGTAATCATCCCTAGCAAACCACGAGCATCGTTAATAAAAAGGAAGCATCAGATCTGCTGAATGAAACAGTCTGTAGAGAGAGAGGTCGTAGTGTCCCCAGATTAAACAAACAGTGAGAGAATTTAATGATGTTGGAAATAATAAAGGTTAGAAAAGCTCATAAAATGCAGGGTATCCCTTTTCATAGAACCTTGGCTAGAGCATTTTATAATAATCTGATGTGCGACCGAGCAATGAAATATATGAGAGATAATAAAGCTGAATTAGATTTTTATTAAATTAAGTGAGAGCACTGGTATCATGTTATGGATACCGACAGTAAACTGGAAATTATAGGGAAAGGTTCTGTAGGCCTACCTAGTTAATAAAAACCATAGGAAGCATGAAGTGCCATGAAAAGAACTCACAGCATGAAAAACACCAAGTGTTTCAAAATTACAGCTTAAGCCAAATGTGTCTCACTCAGAAAGAAAAATTAAATGGGTAAGAGGTGTTTTGCCTAAGAGGATTTTTATTAATATCTGGACATACTACATTTTAAATGGGATCGTATACAAATAATTTTGATGACAAATTAATTTGTTCTGGACAAAGACCGAGTGGGAAGGACAGTTCACATAATATTATAACTTCATATTACATAACTTGGCATGGGTGTTATAAGGGGAGTAATTAGGGTAATCACATTCTTAGAGAAATATTCTTGGAAGAAATCTACACTGCCCAAGTCTTCCCCTCACACAACCTAACTTATTTTGCTTATAACCTTCAAGTTTTTGTCCACCTGTATATGTATTTGACCCTGTCACAATCAGAGGGTGGCATTGACTTTTAAAGTTACTTGATCCTTAACGTCCACAGTTAGTGGTACTATCCCCTTTCTTTCAACACTCTCAAAATGTTGAGTTTCCTCAGCGCTTACATTTTATTTGGAAGCTGCTTACTACTGAATTTTTAAGTAGAAAAAGCAAACTCTCCGGCCGTCTTGTTAAATCAACTCCCCCATTATTTATTTGGTTCTCAGGGCACTATGCCACTGGAGAGCTCAGAGAGCTGTTAAAAAGGTGTTTGCACTCTATATGCACTCTGTATATTTCTCAAAGAGCTGGGGTGGTAGACCAGAAGACTCCAAGCAAGGATTAAAAATGGTAACAACTGCACAGTCAAGCAACTGTTCAACCCAAGAGGATGATTCTTTTGCAGATGAGATGGCAGGACAGAGCTGAAGGCCTAATTTATAAGCTCAGGTTTAAAATACATAGCAACACTTCCTACTCTAAAGGAAAATCAAAAAAATAAATGAATTCATTCCATGGACATGCACCTGGACAGAACACCACTGACTTCTTAAAATAGAGCAACATCTTTGCAGAATGTCCTGACCATGATTCTCTTCTTACAAAGGGGATATTTTATGCTCACTTCTTCAAATGACTATTCATGTTGCAGTTAGCTCTCTTTCTTTTCCCTTTCTCCTGGAGCCTGCCCTCTCATTTCATGCTGGGACTCCTACAAATTGCAACGTACAGGGTACCACTGCCAATTTGCCAAATGTCTTTCATCAAACACGGTGCAAAAAAAAAAAAAATCTCAGAGGAAAGTCAAGATACATTTACTTGTCAGACGACAAATGTGAACGCATTGGGAGGCAGTAGGGGCTGTGAGCTCAGGGGTTTGATTCATAATCACTCAGCTGCTAAAACATTCTCCACAGATGCAAGCGGACAGCACATTTGTCACTATGAAGGGTTTTGACATGTACTGATCACAGGGCAGAGAGATGGAATGATGCTGCTGCTCAGAGAGGTGGGTGGAAACTCTGTCCCTGCAGAATTTGGTCATTATCCCTTTCTAGCCAGAGCATTAGCATTTTTCATATTACTTAGGATTTTATTTATTAAAAATCAATCCAGAAATATTTTATGATACTAATTTATTTTGCATTTATTCCTTCTAATTGTTCCTTGTAGAAAATCATTTTGATAGTCCTCCCTCCATGGAATAAATTGTCTAAGTGAAAAATGACCTCTGGCCTTCAAACTGATTAGCAGTAACAAGCCAGGGTGAGGGTCATGATCGCATATATTTATTGGGCAGAATAGAAAGTGCGCGGGTGATGATTATAAATGTTTTATTTATGTACATTTAATATGTGAGTAAAGTTTCATTATCTAGTGGTTTTAAATCATTTGAGTGTCCGCCCTGCTGACACACTCAGATTCCTGTGGCAATACATCTTCTAGAAACACTTTTTCCTTTTATATGGAAAATAGCTTACTCATGACTCTTATTATTCTCGGCTTTCATCTATAGCTCATATAAACTATAAGTCCTTTAAGTTATTTAAGAGCAATTGGCTGTTGAGAAATATGTCTTGCTTTAGTAGCTGCTAATAGCTCCTTTTGAAGAGAGATCACTGTGATTACTTTACCTCAAACTGTTTCGATTTGGGAAAACCATCAAGAAACAAAACAATATATTATGGGCTTGATGACTAATAATGACATTCTTAAAGATAATAGGGGTTACCCAAGTGCCTCTATATAAGCTACCCCCACCTTGGGCTTCTGGTGTCAAAAGGAGGGAGGATTAAATTGGAGTGGGGAAATGGGAGAGAAGATGGGAAGTGAGCTGAGGGTAGCTATTAACACTACACATAAACACACCACCACTTTCTGTCCAGCTAGCTACAACTGAGCAACATAAAAGCCATCACTGAATCCTTCCTTTCATCTTCTTAAGACTTGTTCTCATAGCACTTGACCTCAGCTAAAAAGGAACCGATAGAAGTAACTTAAACATTTGCCAGTTGGGTAGTTTAGCAGTTCTGTGACCAATCTCAGCCCTAGTGTCAATATTTCAAATTAAGATATTGGATTTAGATGAGTATGGGTCAACACCCCCACTTTCTTTGACTATAAGGTCTGACTCAAAGGATGTTCCTCTTGAAATAACACCCATTTTACAGAAATGGTAAGTTTTGACATTCATTTTTATAAAGTCTGACTTCATATTTTTAAAAAGATGAATTGGCCACAGATAATGGGGCAGTGAGGGCCTAAGGGGGTAGGTGGGGGGTGGGGGTGGATTGGAGGCGGTCAATGGGGGGGGAAAGGAGGACATAGCAATGTGTACTACTTTCAAAAATAAATAATTACTTAAAATGCACAAAAATAAAAAAATTAAAAGATGAATTTGGGTAAATGGAACAGAATCTATTTTTCAATTATGAAAAATCCAATGAAGAGGGCAATGTGTACTACCATGAATAAGCAATTTACTGAGAGTGGGAAAGCTAAAGGGAGGAAAAGATAGATCATATATTTTAGAAATGTATTGCTCTATGCCCTATTAATGTCATAGGCTAATCTCTAATCTGTAAATGACAGTGATTTTTTATGGAACAGTAATTTTTATTTATATACATAATAGTTGTTGATGGTATCTGCAGCCAGATGTCAGGAAAAGGAAGTCATTTCACCCCCTTCCAGTCCCCAAGAGGCTATTAACTTTAAACTGACGCAAACTAATATTTAGATACAACTCCCTCATTTTAGAAAAAAAAGTAGCTATATCTCTATTCAAGTAAAGTTAGTATTTTTAAAAACATTTCAGAAGTCAAGATATCATCAACTGGGTCCTAAGTACTTAGCTTAACATTGTTATCTGGCAGCCAATAATTGATGGCATAAAGAAGTTTCTCATTAAAACTATTAAAGTGACAATCTGATTAAATGAAATGATATGTCCAGTGGCACCATAAATTGTGTGACCTAATGTTTCACAAATTAGATTACACATGCCTTTATCATAAAATAACTAACTTTTCATAAATAATTTCTGATGGGAAAGTTTGTAGATTTGGTAGTTTTCTATATTTATTCACTTGATAATCCTGAGAAGTCTCAAAATTATGGCCATTTAAGGGGAGGAGAGTAAATATTCATATTTTATCATCATGTCACTCATGTATCACATTCAGCAATCATGATAACTTAGAGTTTTTTACCACTAAAATGTAAGAGCATGTATGTTTAACATTTCCCACTAATATCCATGTTTTATAATATACATATAAATTACAGCTCTGAAGAAAACCTATGAACCAATGGAATGAGAGTGTTTTCAAAGAACTGCAATGGCAGCTACTATGCCATTGTATTATCAGCAAATGAAATCTAACTTAAAATCTGAAATGGGCTTCAGAAGTTGGTAGAACCATGGCCATTTATGTAAGGGACTGCACCTTATGCTTGAAGCAGCTACCAATATAGCCACTGGAAAGTAATACTCCACCTTAGAAAGTGAGGGCCTTGAGGTACAAGACTCAGGACATGCCCCTGACAGGAAAGGCAGGAGAGAAATACTGGAAATATTAACCTCATCTACTATACAACTTTGCCCAAGGGCGCGTTCTCTCACTCTCTCTCTCTCTCTCTCTCTCTCTCTCTCTCTCTCTCTCTCTCAAATAAATGAACTTAATCCTTAAAAGTCTATCAGATGAGAAAAAATCATAATTTATCACATATCCCATAAAAGAAAAAAAGGAGGAATTTCTGGTAAAGGAAAACCAACATCAGATAGCAGAAATAAGTAAGTGTTAAAGCGCTCCAACTTCAAAATAATTTATATATAATTATATGTGGTGACTGAAGAAAAATTGAACTGCATTCCAAAAGTTTACCCATACCTCAAAAATCAGAATATTTTGAGTAAACCAAGAAAATGAAAAAGCAAAAGCACATACACACAGAGGAAATTTTGTAATAGGTGTCATTTATATACATTTCAAATAATCCAAGGTTTATTTGAGAGTGAAAACTAAATAAACACTTTATTTTTCTTGAATAAAAAAATAAATTGTCCCTTTATTGTCTATTAACTGATAACTGACTGGAAATGTAACTAAAAGCTGAGAAGTGAGACCCAGTGCTAAAAGATCCATT